AGAGTCTAATACCTGAAACCAGCTAGTCTTTTGGACATCAGCTCCAATAGTGTTCATGTTTTTCTTTGGCAAGCCACGCCATCCCAGGAGGTCTCTAGCAGAAGCCTGCTTGGAAAACTTGTGCTATGATCTGATATTCCCTACCTGATTCTTCTGGAGCAGAAAATCTGAATTTGTCACTGCAGCAACACAGGCTTCTGGGCAGGAGGCCCAAGAGCTTGTTCCCTGGAGACGAAATCAGACATGAGGTGTGACCCTGGGAGGCAGTGAACTGCGGAAAGAAACTTTCCCTTCCTCTGATCTGCAACATCCTAGAACAGAACAACTGTCTCTAGTGGCAGCAATGAAGTATCCAGTCCCACCACTGATACATGCTTCAGTTCTCATCCTAATAACTGAGAAGTCTTAGAGGTATGGTTGCTTGGAGTGATTTGTTAGCTGATTCCAAGATAGTTGCAGGGGTGAATTTTATTTTCATTTGCTCATCTGCATGAGAACTCCAATGAGTCTGAACAAGACGGTCTACCACAGTTTGCAAATATATAGGGAGGGAGAGATGCTTCTTCCATATGGCAGCGACAGAGATGGGGAGCAAGAGCTGTTCTTCACAATCTACAATCCAGAGAAAAGAAAATATGTGAAGGTTTGACAACAACAGGTTTTGACCCAGTAGAGATGTCCAAGGAGTTAGGAGATGAGACCATTGTGGCACAAGGTTAGCCTGTTCCTTTGGGCTGCAGAGCATTTCTTCTCTGTGCTCCACAGCTTTGAGGTAAAATGTGTTCTCCAAGCAAAAGACAGGATCCTGGGATGGGATTCTCTGCACTTAGCATTGTGTGTCTACAATGGAGTTGCTTCTGTCAGTGGTGGGCCTCTCAGTACAAGTGGGAACCTGCAGTGTGATTAGAACTGGTCAACCTGATCTCCAAAGGCTGTATTGACTCAGTCACCCCAGGAGTTTGATGACATGCTCAGATGGAGACATATACACATTGCAGAAGCCCACATTTGGTCAGAGGGCCCCAGTCCTGCTATACTTTCCTCAAAGAAGCAGGAAAAATTATTTGTTCTCTGGTATGCAGCAGGACACATGTCCTTCCTGTCTGCAAGAAAGATCGCTTGTTCACTCACTGTTTGTCTTCATTTTGCCTTTGAAGAAATGTAATCCCCAAAATACCTACTGGACCTGCTGGCCCAGGGTGATGGACAAATTTTCTTACAAGAGCCCTGGTCATTATATAAAACAAACACAGCAACAACTTTGCATTTCTTTGCCAGGCCATGCTCTGGCCAGATAAACTGTGTCCCAGTGTCCTGAGTTCCTGGTATGATCACAACTGCTGGGGGCAGGAACAAATAGTGGAAGCAAAAACCATTCCCAGCTCCAGATATGCTAGGAAGAAGGAGCCAAGGAGTTTTAGTAGCTGATAGAAAGTGCCTTGCATGGTGTGTGGCTGCACAGAGACACAGCCCCTTCTTCCCAGTTCCTCCTGCCCTGCCTCACCCACAGAGCTCAGGGCTGTGTCCACCAAATGACAGCTTAAATTCTCACCTTCCCTCACCCTACAAAATCACCACCCTGTTGGGCAAAATTCCTGCACGTCCATCTCCGTTTATGAGATCACCAGTAGGTTTCTGGCTGCCACCAGGCTTTCTGAATGGCTCAGCATTTGGGAAAGAACTGAAACTTCAAAGCAGAGAGAGAGAATGGCAGGACCTGGCTAATTTTCCGCTGTCTGGGGAAGGAAGACAATGATCTGAGTTCTCTTTTCCATGTGAAGGGGGAGATCAAAGCTGTTGTTGACATGGTCAGTACTGTGGGTAAGAAAGGCTGCATCCGGCCATCCAGGGCTGTGAGCGTCTGTATCTCATATGCCTGGTACTTGAAGTGTCTGCAAGATCTAAGGGAGGATCTGGTATTTACATGTCTGCGTGTGTGCATCTGTGTGGGAGTGGGGTTTGTATATATTATACGCAGAAACTGCAGATGGAAACAACCCAGTTTGGTGTCTAAGGCCTGGTTCAAAGCCCATTAAAGTCAACAGGAGTCATTCTGTTTACTGTGATGAGTTTTGGCCATATCTCTCCTTGCCCCTCCCTGACATGCCTATGAGGTCAGGGCTGCTCCCTAGTACATATCCACAGTTCAACCCTGTGAGCAATGGGGCTTCCCATCTTCACCACTGTGGCTGTTTTACAGGGAATCACTGGATATGCCCTCTCCTCTGGTGTTCACACCCTGCATATACCTAGGGGCAAGTGTTGCTCATTCGTCACACCTAGTTCAAGATACCAGGATCCCATTGTTTGATTTGGCTTTCTAAATTGGCTCCACCAGTTTGTTTTATGTCTTTTGTGTTGCTTTCATCTGAACACACTCCAGCATCATCTCACTCCCCAGGAGCCAGATTTGGGACAAGAAGGGCTCATCATCGCATCACCTTCCTCCATATCCTGGTCTATCACATTTCTACCAGCTCTGCCTGAACTGCCTATAACCTGTGTGCAACTAAAGCATCCATTTCTGAAAGACCTTCATGCTGGATTTGCAGACATCAAAAGCTGATGACCCCCATGCTCTAATGGCTGCAGTCGGCGCACGGTGACGATGTGACTTTTTCTCCTTTGGATTGATCAGGTTTCTGCTGTGCTCTCATGTACAAAAGAGCCCTTTAAGTTCTTATCATTTCCACAGAAGTGTGTTTATAGCCAGTAAATAAGCCAACTCTCTATCTTCCTTGCAGTAATATCACAGGTTTATGCTCCTGAAGACTTTCACTGCAAGGCATTTTATTTCACCTGTTCTATTTTGAATAGCCTTTAAAAATGTGGATGCTGGAACAGGACCAAGCACCAGTGTATCAGCTGTAAAGATGCAGGGTTGCTTCCACTCATCACTCCCCCATTTATAGAGCCACAGTTTGCAACAGCTTTTTTTGCCACGAGTTAGAGGTCAAAACTGAGCTGCTTCTGCTCTCTGCACCACAAACCCTTGTCAGAAACATTGCTGTCTGCTCTCCTTCTTCTTGTCTTCCCCTGAATACCATGCCAGCACTATGGCTCTCCAGATTTGTCTCACCGAAGTCTTGACCAGGCTGAACAAACCCATGTAGCTTTTCCGTCCCGATAATATCACAGGTCAAAGCGGAACAGAAAGTGAAGGGTTGAGCCATCGAAGCGGATCGAGATCTGCCATTGGGGTGCCACAGACAGTAATTTAATGTTCTGCATGAACGTGCAGGAGATGTGTTCATGGATAATGTACTTGTATAGATAGAGAATTTTTTTAATTCCAGGGAGTTATCAGATCTGGAAAAATGCTGAATGAGTGGGTCGCTGCAGTATCAGTCTTTTGCTACACCATGAAGGGGGAGCTGTATTCCCTCTCCAACGTCCAACACTGTAATTGCACAGCCTCTGCAAATAATTAACTGAGCCTAACCAGACTCTTTTCCCTGCATTAAATCTATATTATTAGTTCAATCCCCACCCCAAAAATTAATTTTCACTCTCAGACCCACGCCCCTTTTATTATAATAGATAAAGTGAAATTCTCTCCCAAATAATTTGGTGGGAATATCAGGAAGAAAGGAGTTTCAGCCTGTTTGAGTAGAAGAGAAAGTCTGGAGGAGACAGAAATTACAGGAACATTCAGTCCCCATGCTGCAAGTTAAAAGCTGGGCACATATATGTTCACACGTACATATGTAGGCGTAGTCATCTCACTACTGCCACCCATTATGGTCTGGTCTCAGCAGTCAAGGCTTTCTACAGTGTTTTGTCCCACAGCATTGAACTAGGAGATAAAATTGCATTGCTTGATCACTGTAACCCCATGCCCAAAACACTGCTCACTTGCACTGTGAGACAGGGCTATTAAGAACAGACACAACCATGCACTTTGCTTAATAATCCTGTAGTCTGCTCCAAAAATGGGCCACTCGTGTGGGAACAGATGCATAGTGAAACGTTGAAGTTTGCTAACACCCCTCCTACGTTCTACACCTCAGCATCTCCCAGAGCTCCCACTGCTTTATCCTTCTGCCCACAGCTCATACTACCTCCGAGGTACAGCGATGCTGCCTGGCGTACTGTTTTTTGTTCAATGCCTTTGTGTGGGACCAACCTGACGAGACCCACTAGGGCAAGCTGTGGCTGGAGCAGAATAGCCAGGTGGTGGTGAATGTAGAAAAGGGAAGGCTGTACCAGCTGCAGATGTAGTTTTGCCAACAGAAAGGAAATAGGAATTGAGCTAAAGCTTCCTATTACTTGGACTCCCAGTGGTCTGTCACCACAGAAAACTGCCTATTTTATGAAATAAAACCTTCCTAAGGTAAACATTTATTTCAGACAATTGTGAAACCGAAGGTAGAATGGGAGAATGTCAAGTAAGGTAAGAAGAAAAAACACGAGGAGAAAGGCTATCTTGCCAGGAGCAGTTTGCTTGTAGCAAAGGGTTGCTGACTCTCCTCTGAAATACAGACTACTTCAGGGCTGCCCAGACACCACAAGTAGCCCTTGGAGATGAGGAACTCCTACCAGGAACAAATGGCACACAAGGGAGGGAAAAAGGGGCAAGTTACCTCTAACCAGAGTGAACCTCTCAGGAACTCATCTCCAGTCCTTTTCAGAGTCTGGAGAAGTGGCTTTGAAACTTATCCCTTATCTTGAGACAGTGGATGTAGACTCTAAGGCTGTCTTGAAAGCTGCTGTTGCCTGTGCAGTGTATGGGCACCTCATGAAGTCTCCCCTGGTGCCAGTGTGGACAAAGCACTCAGAGAATGTAACACAAAACCAGCCACAATTAAACCTATGCAGCTTTAAATCTGATTATATCAATGAGGAGACAGAAGTGTAAGTACTGTCTTTATTCTGTGAAATTACAAAAGAACAAGAGCTAAACAAACTCCCCACACAGGAGAAGCCACAGCAAACAGGACACAGTGCAAACCACATCTGGACTTTGTTGTGGGCTTTGCTTAACCCTGTACTAGAGAGAGTCAGAAAAGTACCTTCTCCAGGATGAATCCTGACAGTACAGGGAGGAAGAGGACATCTGGAGGGGCAAACCCAGAAGTCACTCTGGCCAAAACAGAAGCTGGTTTGCATTGGAACCGTCTTAACTTTATGTCCATCATCCCCAGATTGTTTTTTCCATCTCCTACAATATTGCATTCAGAAATGGTAGTGCAACCCTTCATGGCAGCTTTCAGAGACAGTCCACCTACACAGGAGAAGAAGTACATACCATGCATCAGGGGAACCAGTTTCCATAGCTATTCCCTCCCTGGCCAAAGAGGTCCCCATTTCCACTCCAAGAACTGTCCATTCCTTACGTCCTGTTGGCTCCAAACTCCCCAACCCATTCCTGTCTGTTCCCATCCCTTGAAACAATTTGAAGAAGCGGCAAGGTCACCTTGGTTGACTTGAAATACAAAAGGTTTAGGGTTTGTCCTTTATTCCTTTTTGCTGAATAAAGATTCTTCTTTTAAATCTAAACATTTTACATTTAAAAATTGAAAAGCTTTTAAATATTTTTTTTTCTCTCATTCAAAGATTCTTCTGTTCAAACCTTGCCTAGCTTCCTAAAGAAACTGGGGCTCTGAGACAGTATTCCGGGTGTTCACTGTCTCCTTCTCTCTGTGACCTTCTCATGACATTTGAACTGGATGACTGTCTCTCAGCCAAATTTGACATGCGGGTGAGAAATCTCAAAGACATTGTAGGCTGAGTCATTTATTCAGATAAGTCCATTCTCTAAGGCCTTACGGGGTTTAGCCAAACCAACAGAGAAACCCTGCTCATATGTCTACTGAGTGGGAGCCTGAAACTTGAACTTGGCCTTTACCAACACTGGAGCATCTACCTGAGAAGGAGACCTGAGAAAGTGCTGGGTGCCTAACTCCCCATTCAGATATATTTCTTCCTGTTGCTTGCTTTTGCTTCCACTGCTCATGTTTCTCTGCTGCAGATGCTATGGAATTCTGGAATATTCTGATGGACTTCCTTAACTCAAATACAAATAATGTATAAGGGCACGCCACTAGTTCCTCACCTTCCTTTGCTCCCCTACATCACTGTTTCCTCTGCACAGCTCACTGCACTGCACAGGTCTCCTCTATTAATAGTGGCCGATAATCAAGTCAAGACAAGTTAGGAGCATTTTTTATTTCAATGATACACTGAATTAATTCCACCACACTACTTCCATTGCTGCGACTAAGAAAACTCTTGTTTTCCTTCATGTTGCTCTATGAAACACTTTCTAATTCAGGGTTTGAACAACACATCTATAAAGTGTGTAGCAAAGACCTTCAGGCTGGCAATATTATCAACCCAGAGAAACTTCATCCATAACCATACACAAGAGAATTTTTTTCCAGACTGCTTCTACAGCAGGTGCCGCTGCTCTTAATTTCCATGTTACTTTTCCTGCCTGCTGCAGCAGAAGTGGGACTGTCGTAAAATATGGAAGTCTTTTACTTGCGGAAGGGGAGGAAAGGGCAGTGACCAGGGAGCTTGCAGTCTATTTTTCTCTCTCTAATTTCAGCTCATGAGTTGAGAAAAAGATTTCTGAAGGAGAGTGTTACATGCTGCTCATGATCACAGCCATTCAAAGGCTGGAGTTACCTCGATGGTAAGACCTTTGTGTACCCCAAAGGCTCAACTGCAGTGTTAATGGGGAGAGAGAGATGTGTCCGTGGTTCTCTAGGAGCATAGGCACCACTATGACAAACAGTGTCCTCTCTCCAGTGGCCAGAGTCACCTCATGAGAGAGCCAACGGTTCTGTATTAACTTCACCTGAACCTCCACAAAGTAGGCAACTGGCTTACAACCAGATGCATCCTCATGCATCCTAGCTAGGGCCAGCAGGTTCAGGGTTTTGGTCAGATTTGTTACATGCCCATGTATCAGATTGCTTCAGGAGTCCAGTTCTGCTCTTGACCTCAGTTATGCCATGTTATGAGGAATCCCAACAGCTATACATGCATGACGGGGAAGGAGGAAGAAAAAAAGCACACCCTTTTATCAGCTTTAAGCATGTGCCCTTTCAGTTCCATGTCTCTTCCTTTTTTTTAACTTCACAATTTTTGCCCATTTTTATTTCTCTGTGATGCTTCACCTTAGACTGGTTTCACCCATTTAACCAAAGAGATGAAAGACAGCCCCAAATAATAGGCAGTTACCAGAATTCATTAACCCAGCAAGGTCAACACACTGGGTTTCATATCCAGTGCAGTTCACGGTTTCGTTACCACACTGGAAGGAGTCCACGCTGTAGCAGGCGGGACACTGGTATCCATTAGGTATGTTGTCCTCTGGTGGCACTGGAAAGAAAGAGATGGGCCATAATTAGTTTTAATGAGGGAACAGGAGGAATGAGCCAGGTGATGGTTTAGCCTGGAAGGCCTCACCTCAGGACGGGGCAGATAGTGAGGGTCGATATATAAGGGAAAAGAGAGCTTACATGAGACAGAGATCGTTCGACAGTCAGCACCTGTGCAGCAAGCCAAGTGGCTCCTTGCTTTTACCTTGCCGTAGTTCATGGTGATAGGGCCAATCTGGCAAATGCTGGATGGCAGGCAGGTTTTGATGGACGAAGGGATTGCCATCCCCCCTGCAACAAAGTGGAAGGCAGCACCAAGTTGTTAACCACAAGGTAGCTCTCTTCTTCTCCTATTAGTTCCTACAGCAGCAACTGCTAAGCAGCTGCACTGGAGCCTGAGAAGGGTGTGGGGACAGCAGAGCCACTCCAAAAGCAGCATGGGTGATCCTGGTGGTGCGCTCAGAGGAAAGAGGGTACCGTCACATCTGAGACAGTAGTGAGGAATTTCTCCTTCTCCGCACTGTGCTTAAAGGCAGGAGGAGAGCACAGCTCCTCACAGCCAACTGGCCTCGTTGCAGATGTTCACCTTAGCCAGAATTCCCCAGTCACAGAGCTTTTGGGGTGACCCATGCGCATCTGACCCACAGCCCATGTTTCTTCATGCACAGTCTGCACACCACACAGTCAATCACAGCCACAGGCATTCTGACACAGGCAAGTCTAGTTTTTCCCTTGAACCAAACCCAAAAAGGGTAACAAGCGGCCGATCAGTTACAGTGCAGACTACTGAGGCCCCACCAGTGATGTGAGGAGAAAGTGTGGCTTTGCAAAACTAGAGGGAAGACACGCAGTGCAGCTGCCAGCACCAAAACTGGAAGGATAAGAGATCACTTCCGGTCTAAAAGCCAACAGTCACATTACTGAAGCTGGGCGATGACCGAGGCCGTGCCACTAACACAACCAAGCACGCAATTGTGTCAAGGCTCAGAACCCATTTTTGGCTTGTCAGCCATCGGGTCATGGTGATAGCTCAGCCCTGGTGGTGCTACCAGGTTGCGTGGTGTCCCCTTCCCTGCTCGAGGAAGAAAGTCAGATGCAGGCCAGTTTCTCCCTCCACCCATGGCAAGTGTACCCTTGGTGCTAGATACCAGCAGACTAGAGTCCCTCATGGTCCAGCCTCCCGACCCTGCTACTCACCTTGGCCAGAATTAAAAGCTATTGTCTCCTCGCAGTACACTGCCTCAGTCCTCCCCTCCACAACTAAGAACACAGCCCTCCCAGCAGGAAACTGCTGCTCGAGATAAAGGAATAGAGAACTTTTCCCAACCCATCTCTGGGTCCTCTGTCAGTGAAAAGGAAAATGAACAGCTTATCCAAGGACTTACCATAAGGGCAGTAACAGATGTGAGGAGAGACACGCATCCCCCAGCCCCACCCCAAAAGCCATGCTGCCACACAGTGACCATAGTGGATGTCTCACCTACCCATCATGACCTCGTGCAGAATAACACCACAGGTATCTTCACTGCCACTACAGGTTTTCATGGGGCCAGAGCAACTTTTTCCTATGCTGTGACAAACCTCACACTGAAGAGAGGTCCCTGGTGAAAGAAGGAAGACACAACCTTGGGCAGCAGTCACAGAATCACAGAATCACAGTATCACAGAATGGTTGGGGTTGGAAGGGACCTCTGTGGGTCATCTAGTCCAACCCCCCTGCCAAAGCAGCTTCACCTACAGCAAGCTCCTAGAGCAAGCTGCACTTCATCCTGGTGGCTTTTGGGTATCTCCAGAGAAGGAAACTCCACAACCTCTCTGGGCAACCTGTTCCAGTGCTCTGTCACCCTCAAAGTAAAAAGTTCTTCCTCGTGTTCAGATGGATCTTCCTGTGCTTTAGTTTGTGCCCGTTGCCCCTTGTCCTGTCACTGGGCATCACTGAAAAGAGTCTGGCCCCATCCTCCTGACACCCACCCTTCAGATATTTGTAAGCATTTAGAAGATCGCCTCTCAGCCTTCACTTCTCCAGGCTAAACAAGCCCAGCTCCCTCAGCCTTTCCTCATATGAGACATGCACCAGTGCCCTCAGCATCTTCCGTCAACCTCTGCTGGACTCTCTCCAGTAGTTCATCATCTTTCTTGAACTGGGGAGCCCACAAATGGGCGCACAGCTCCACATGCGGCCTCACTAGGGCAGAGTGGACAGGCAGCGGAAGCTCCCTCCACCCACTGGGCAAACTCTTCTTAATGCACCCCAGGATACCATTGGCCTTACTGCCAACCAGGGAACACTGGTAGCTCATCGTCAGCTTGTCGTCCACCATCACTCCCAGGTCCCTCTTCACAGAGCTGCTCTCCAGCAAGTCAGCCCCAAGCCTGTACTGCTGCATGGGCTTATTCCTCCCCAGGTGCGCTTGCCCTTCTTGAACTTCATCAGGTTCCTCTCCGCCCAACCCTCCAGCCTGTCCAGGTCTCGCTGAATGGCAGCAGAGCCTTCTGGTGTATCCGCCACTCCTCCCAGTTTTGTGTCATCAGCAAACTTGCTGAGGGTACACTCCATCCCTTCATCCAGGTCATTGATGAAGAAGTTGAACAAGACTATTCAACTCTTCGCTGACTCTGCGCTGCAGTGGCAACCCTCCAAGCTCTCCCATTCAACCAGTTCTCAATCCACCTCACCATCCACCCATCTAGCCCACACTTCCAGATCTTCCCTACAAGGATGTTACAGGAGACAGTCTCAAAAGCCTTGCTGAAGTCGAGGCAGACAACATCCACTGCTCTCCCCTCATTGACCCAGGCAGTCATGCCATCATAGAAGGCTACCAGATTGGTCAGGCATGATTGGTGAATCCATGTTGACTCCTCCCGATAATCTTCTTTTCCTCCACTTGCTTAATGATGACATCCAGAAGCAGCTGCTCCATCACCTTTCCACGGATGGAGGTGAGGCTCACTGGCCTGCAGTTCCCTGGGTCCTTCTTCTCAACCTTTTTGAAGACTGGAGTGACGTCGGCTTTCCTCCAGCCCTCAGCCACTGCTCCTGTTCTCCAGGACCTTTCAAAGATGATGGGAGACTGGCTTAGCAATGACATCTCCCAGCTCCCTTGGGCATCTCTTCTGGGCCCATCTATTTGTGGGTCTCCAGTTTGCTTAAATCATCTCTCACCCAATCCCCCTCAATCAAGGGAAGGTCTTCCTCTCGCCAGTCTTCCTCTCTTACCTCCAGGGACTGGCATGCCCGAGGGCCAGCCTCAACAGTGAAGACTGAAGCAAAGAAGGCATTCAGTAACTCTGCCTTCTCTGTATACTCTGTTGCCAGGGCACCCACCTCCTGCAGCAGTAATGAGGGATCTCAGTTCCCCTTTTATTGATGTTTGTTTCAGCATTTGATCAGCACTTTTCACATTCCTCTTTCCTTATTTGCCCTGTCTCATTGCTCAATTAGTGAGCTTTTTTCTTATTTTTATTTTTATTTATTCTAATATGAACTTGATTTTGGGCAAGCAAGGGGAAGCCGTTTTAGAACAGCATTTTACATTTTAGCCACCAATACCCAGCCAGTCTCCCTTGTCTCCTGTGCAATGATGTTTGCTTGGTTTTCCCAGGGTTGCTAAGGAAAGCATCCCCACAAACCCCTCCATCCTGACAGGCATTCAGGTGTCCCTGGATTCTCAGGCCCCAAATCTTCTCTTTGAAGTAAGCAGGGACATCCAAAGGTCTGGAGATCAAGAGGCTGCCAGCGGGTATTGACTGTGCTATGTACAAACTGGGGAATGGCATATTTCTTTGTAGTCATGAGAGGAAACCACTTTACCAACTGCCTGCTGGAACACCTTAAGCAGATCAGAATATCAGACAGCATGAAACACTTAGAAAGGAATAAAATGTTCATCAGCAAGAAGACAAACAGCATGTCTTCCCTGACACATTCTCATTGGGTTCCAAGGGTCCAGCATGATTACAAGATGAACAGGTCCGAGGCATGTGTCATTTCCCTAAACCCAGGTGCCATCTAAGGCACCTTAGAGTGGCTGTGAAATCTACATGGGGTGGCAGGTATGACAAGACCTCCAAGACACCAGTGCTCTTCAAGAGCAGAGCTGCAGGACAGCTGAAATAACATATAATGTTTAAAATGTCACATGACCCTGGAAATAAATGAGCCCCTAAATTTGTGGTAAGTGGTGGCTGGAGATTGATTCAGATGACCAAAGGTCTGTCTGCCTCAGAGTAACCCGAGTCACTCCTGTGACTGTCCCAGCTAGATCACCAGTGACCACCACGGGAGCTTAGACAGAAGGTTCACATTGTAAGTGCCTCCAGCTTCATCTGCACATTGGCTCATAGCACCAAAGATCCCCCAAGACCAGTCACACCTCTGCAGTGCAAGCACCCCCTGGATGAGGGGTTCCTACGGCTCAGGTGGCAGGAATGGCCCCACACGCGGAGCACCCATTCCCAGACCACTTCCATGTCTCACAGACCTGCAGGTCCCAGCAGAAAACTCACCTGGGTCCAAGAAAGCCAGGAAGAAGCTGACACCAAGGAAAACTTTCATGCTGATCAGATGTAAGCACAGGGAGCTGCCAAGTCTTGCTGAACACAGCACTGTGTGCCACAAGGCTTTATAAACTGGAGGGAAACAGGGTGTTTTGGGGAAGTGAACGTTGGGGAAGTGTTCTGAAGAACTGCAGAGCAGTAACACCACTTTTTTTTTTTTTATTTAAAGCACAAGTTTTGCCTTTTCCTCCACATGAGTAATGCTGTTTGTCTTTCCCCAGTCTAGAGTATGCAGCCTGTGGGGAAAGACTGGCTTGCCTGGGGTCTATCAGGTATGTCTCCAGTGCAGACTTTGTTTGAACAACATTCAGCCTCTGCCATACATATGAATGATGAAGAAGAAACGATTTGAACAGCCCTGTTGTGCTCTCACTGTTAGGCCCAAAGAAGCTAAGCGCAGCAAGGGCCAGTGGCTGAGTTTTTGCTGGCTGGTTTCCCATCTCCCTTCCCATCAGACAGTCAGGAGCTCTTATGCCCTGAATACAGCAGCAAAGCAGACAGTGGCAAAGCAGTGAGCTTCCTCTCCAAGCTGGCATGAAGCTTCTGTTTGCAAAATGACTGCCAATGCACACCTTGGAGCAGGCTCAGTCAACGGTTCCTGGGGTGAATATGTCAGAGCTGCAAAGCAGGCCCTCCAGGGTGCAGGTTTTGACAACAAACACTTGGAAGTTGATAAGAAAGTCTTCTAGTGTAACTCTGGTTTTTAAATCAAACCAGCCAGCAGGGAGAATACATTGACGTGGCTATGAGACAGCCTGGCCACAGCTTAGGTAATGTTATAGTGGGTTTTCCATTCCCTGAGATCTCATGATGAGATAATGCCAAGCAGCAGCCATCAGCCTGCCATTGGCCCAAAGGTTCCCTGCCCCGTGTGCAAGTTTTATGGGGATGTACTGCCTCACTGAAGCCATTCCCTACCCTGAAGATACTCTCTGTATGTCTGAACTGCACCAGACTGGACACAGTCAGTTAGTTTATGGTCCTCTGGGACTTTTTTCACGGACGGCAAGGAAGAACTGAAATGCCCTTGTGCCCCCTCTCAGCTGAAGTATCAGCTCCTTGGGCGAGATATGGCTCCAGGTAGACTTATTCCTGTGTAGCACAGCAGCGTGCTGGGCTCATCTGACCTCCAGACACAAGAGCACCCCAAACAAGAAGTCTTCCACAGCAGGGGCATTCAGACCACAAATACAGAGAGGTAATGAATCACAAATACAAGGTGCAAGGACCTTCTGAGGCTCACCCAATCCATCCTGCTGCCCAGGGCAGCTCTAGCCCACGACAAGGGCTGCCCGTGTGGTTGTATCATGAAACAGTGAAATCTGGTCTGCTGGGGAAGGACTCTCACCTTGAACCTGGCAGGGCTAGGTGTTTGGTAAGGAGCAGAGAGGGTTTCACTGCTGAAGTTTCCTAGTGATGCGCAAATGAGCTAAGTGCTGTTCCTGGCTCTACCAAAGATTTCCTGCAAATCCATAGAGAAAAATCACAGATCTCTCTCATGTTTCCACACTCTTTTGCTTTGATTTTCTGTTTCTCTCTCCCACCTCCCTGTCTGCTTTTTCCATTTGGCACTAACGTCTTCAGAGGAAAAGTGGTCTTGTGACATTTCCAAATACATTGAGTAGTCCAGTGCGACTTCATCTTAGCTAAACCCACAGCACTATGAGAATGCACATCAGTGCCATCACACTGGATAAAAGCCTAGGTCTCCCAACAGAACCACAGAATCACAGAATGGTAGGGGTTGAAAGGGACCTCTTGGGGATTATCTAGTCCAACACCCCTGCCAAAGCAGCTTCACCTAGAGCAGGCTGCACAGGACCTCATCCAGGCGGTACTGAATATCTCCAGAGAAGGAGACTCCACAACCTCCTTGGGCAACCTGTTCCAGTGTTCCATCACCCTTAAAGTAAAAAGTTCTTCCTCGTGTTCAGATGGATCTTCCTGTGCTTCAGTTTGTGCCCGTTGTCCCTTGTCCTGCTTCTGGGTACCACTGAAAAGAATCTGGCCCTGTCCTCCTGACACCCACCCTTAAGATATTTATAGGCATTTAGAAGATCGCCTCTCAGCCTTCACTTCTCCAGGCTAAACAAGCCCAGCTCCCTCAGCCTTTCCTCATACAAGATATGCTCCGGTCCCCTAATCCTCTTTGCAGCCCTCCTCCAGACTTTCTCCAGTAGTTCGTCATCTTTCTTGAACTCGGGAGCCAAGAACTGGATGCAGTACTCTATGTGGGTCCTCACTAGGGCAGAGTAGAGGGACAGGAGAATCTCCCTCGACCTGCTGGCCAAACTCTTCTTAATGCACCCCAGAATACCATTGGCCTTCTTGGCAACAAGGGCACACTGCTGGCTCATGGTCAGCTTCATAGAATCATAGAATCATAAAGGTTGGAAAAGACTTCTAAGATCATCAAATCCAACCATCAACCCAACACCACCATGGCTGCTAAGCCATATCCTGAAGTGCCACAGCTACGTGTTTTTCGAGCACCTCCAGGGATGGTGACGCAACCACCTCCCTGGGAAGCCTGTTCCAATGTCTGACCACTCTTTCAGTAAATAAATTTTTCCTAATATCTAATCTAAACCTCCCCTGATGCAACTTGAGGCCATTGCCTCTCATCCTATCTCTAGTTAGCTGGGAGAAGAGACCAACAACTGCCTCACTACAATCTCCTTTCAAGTAGTTGTAGAGAGCGATAAGGCTCAGCCTCCTCTTCTCCAGATTAAACAGCCCTGGCTCCCTCAGCCATTCCTTATAAGACTTGTTCTCTAGACCCCTCACCAGCCTCATTGCCCTAAGCAGACCAACACTGCCCCCCCACTTGGTGTCATCTGCAAACTTACTGAGGGAGCACTCAATCCCTTTATCTAGATCATTGATAAAGATACTAAACAAGACTGGCCTCAAAACTGTGCACTGAGGAACACCACTTGTGACTTGTCGTCCACCAGGACACCCAGGTCCCTCTCCGTAGAGCTCCTTTCCAGCAGGTCAAACCCTGGCCTGTACTGGTGCATTGGGGTTATTCCTCCCCAGGTGCAGGACCTTGCACTTGCCGTTGCTGAACTTCATCAGATTTCTCTCCGTCTAACTCTCCAGCCTGTTCAGGTCTTGCTGAATTGCAGCACAGTGTTCCGGTGTATCAGCCACTCCTCCCAGTTTTGTGTCCTCAGCAAATTTTCTGAGGGTACACCCCGTCCCTTCATCCAGGTCATTGATGAATAAGTTGAACAAGACTGGGCCAAGTATTGAACCCTGGGGAATGTCCATAAAGCTGGTATCACAAGAAGATAAGCAGTAGTGATATCATCACCTTTAATTTCTTTTTCAGCTTAGAAATTGTCTCAGGTCACAGTGGATACATTATAATGAAGTCAAAACTCTGACTGCAGCCATTCCAGAATTAAAATTCATTCCTCATTGGTCTGAAACCTCAGACTGAATAAAACCCTGTCCCCAGGTAGGCTGAGGCAGTCAGACCAGGGTGATCCCGCCATTTAACTACATTTGGGTCTGCAGATACAGAGAGGTAGATGGGTGGATGTGGCTGTCTCTGGTGATTTTAATTTCATGCCCTTTCATTTAAGATGATTACTGAAGTGCCTGGGGGATTTTCCATAAGTGACATGACTGCACTAGCCCCACTCAATTATACTGAATTCACCTGTTTCCCGCCTCTTGTGAAGGGAGGGTGTGAAGCTGCAGGCTTTTCATGTGCATTTTTAGAGATGAAACCAAGCATAGCAAGCAGGAGCCATGATCTGCAGCAATAAGAGACCTGAAAAATAAGACTTATGAGAGAAGGTGGAAACAATAAAGGTGCTCAGGGAACACCCAGTCGTATCACATATGTCTGCAAAAACAAGGGCTGGGTAGGAAAAAGTGTCACAGGAGGCTTACACTGGGCACAGTGAACTTATCCAACAGTGACAACAGTGAACCTTGAATGCCTAGGAAGGTGTGGAACCTCCATCCTGGGTGGCTTGGAAAAACAGGCTAGACAAATACAGGTTAGGGAATTATTGAAGTTGATAGGATCCTGCTCCAGAGCTGAAAGGTGGATTAGATACTCTCTCTCAAGATCCTTTCTGAATTGGTTCGTATACATTAATTTCATAGTGTGCATGAAGCACCTGTCTTCTGCAGCATGTCCATGTTTCCAGAAGCAGAGGAAGGTGATAATACAATAGTCACACTCTAAGGGGAAGTAAGGCAGAGGCTGGGGAGATCAGAGAAATCTGTGAGGTGAGAAAAGTTAGAAATCCACAGCTGCAGATACATTGGCAGGAAGGTTAGAAGAAGGGGATATATTCAAAAGAAAGATGTTCAGCAGAAGAAACCGTCTAGGCTAGAGCATGGACAAAAGTCGTATGTGAATTTCTCATACAAGTTTGTGGCAGAAAAGGCCAGTGGGTTTCATCGAATCATAGAGTCATTTAGCTTGGAAAAGACCCGTAATATCAAGCCCAACTTTTAACCTAACATTACCAAGTCCACCACGATATCATGTCCCTAAGCACCACATCTACACATCTTTTAAATAACTCCAGTGATGGTCATTCAACCACTTCTCTGGACAGCTGTTCCAGTGCTTGACAACCCTTTCAGTGAAGAAATTTTTCCTAATATCCAATCTAAACCTTCCCTGGTGCAACTTGAGGCTGTTTCCTCACGTTCTAAGAACCCAAACATAAAGATATGTCATCAAAGCATGAAGTTAATGAATCAGGTTTACATCACAGCTGGAGAACCCAGGTCAGAAATCTCTGGAAAAAGTAAGAAAAGTGGCAAAGATGTGACAAAGAAAGGAAAATATAGAAAGGGCTGGGGCTGTACAGCTTGTGTAGGAGATGCTGGGCAAAAGCCTTTTATAGACCTATCTGGGGTTGAAGTGTAAGGACACGTTCAAGGGATAATGACAATCATGGCTTTAAGAAAGAAGAAGTGAGATCAGAGCAAAGCATAAACTCTCTGATGGTGAAATCAGCTGGC